ATGCTGGCAAGATGGTGAGGCGAGGGGACTCTCACATGCTGCCGCTGGGACTGCAAAGTGGTACATCTCTGTGCCAGGCTGTTGGGCCAAACCAATCAACGTTACGGTGGGCATGTCCTTAGCCCTCACAATTGCATTTCTGGGAATTTATCCCACAGATGTTTGCACATATGTGAAATGACATATGATAGAGTTACCTACTGTAGCATCCTTTACAGTAGCAACACATTTGAAACAACATAAATGTCTATCAGAAGACCAATAATCTAAATTATGGTACATCCATACAACACAATCCTAGATAGCTGTAAAGAAAAATGAGAACACTTTTTTGTACTGTTATAAAAAGAACTACAAGATGTATTATTAAAAGAAAAAATGCAAGTCTCCAAACAGTATGCATAATGCTATTTGCTGATTGAAATAAAACAGTGGTGAACAGGAATATATATATTCGTATTTGCTTATATATGAATAAAGAAACTCAAGAAAGTTCACCAAGAAGCTAAGAATGGTTAACCATGACGAAGAGGAGAGGCGTGGCAGATGAGGAACATATTTGAAGGGAAGACTTTTCTCTGTATACGTTTTAATATTTTCTTTTTCCCCCAAACACCACATAATTTGTAACAAATTATTTATTCCTTTAGCTTCAAAAGAAGTCCTCTATGAAAATGTAAATACTCTATGGAGAAGTAGCCAGAGCCTATGGACCTCAATCTTTTTCATCCCTAAAATCTATTTCTGTGATTTCTCACCCTTGCCTTGGAAACCTCCAAGTGAACCAATCCCCAGCTGCTTAGACTGTTCACTGCCAAACAGCTTGGCGGTCATGCCTTTCCCCTTCGCCATCCCAAGGGTACCCACAGAGAATGACCGGACCTTGGCCTCAAGGCAGGACAGTGTCTATGGGGCCATTCATATTCCAGTGCTCTCCCTAGATCTGGCCGAGGCTAGATTCCAGTTGAAACTACATCTTCCTCTATTGTACCTCGATCCCCTTACCTCCTTACTGATTTCTTCTTAAAGCCTCCCCCAATGAATTACTTACCCCAGAATCTCTGTCTCAGCTCTGCTTCTAGGAACCCAATCTAAGACATCAACTAAATAAACCACATTGATTGATAACAGATGTCTCTCTCTAAAATGAACCACCAGTAAGTAGGCACTTCTGACAAGCATGAACACCAGTTTCCACACCGTACTGACCTAACACCAGCCAAAAGCAAAGATACTGCTGAGTGGACTTTGTACAGGTTAATAAATCATTTCTAATGAGGGATATAAAATGTTGACAATAACTCATTCATATACATCCCCACCACCTAAGTTTCCAGGGCTGCCAACCTGAGAACCAGTACTCTAAGTCATGACCCTGTATGCTCTAGGTGGATTTCCTGACAACTGAATGAGAGTAGGACAAGCAAACAGGTTGGGAGGAAGAGGGGGTTAAAATTAGGACGTCGTTGCTTTGGCCTGCTGTGGCAGAGACTGCGAGTTGTCCACCATAATCCATTCCCTCATTCTGGCATACAAGAGCATTGTGGCAAAATCCTTGCCCTGGAAAACGAGTGTAAGGGCCATGTATCACGCCCAAACCAGCAGCTTCAGAATGAGTGTGACCTTTCCACACTTGTACCAGACCCGGTGCTACTCTACCCAGGTTTCCTCAGCACTCAGCTCTGTGTGCTGAAGACGGCTTATGGCCAACCCGTCATTCTGCCTGAGGGCTTTTCCTGGCACAGAGAGCATGCTTGTCCAGTGCACAGAGAAAGCTGGAAGGGCTCCAAAATGAATGTCCCCAGTGCTAGCACCTCAGCTAAATCTCCAAGGATGAGAGGTAGTGAATGAATGGTTTCCTATGCCCCTCAAGTGGGGTAACTCTGAGGCACATCTGAACTGGCTCCTGGAGATCCCTGTGGGGATTAAGCTCCAGTTGTCCACGGTAGTAACTTCCTTGATTATAATCCCTTTCTTGCCTGTCTTCCCTTTCCTGTCACACTTCCCCATTCCCCGACAGATGTTTTCTTGGATCACCCACAGAAGCAGCTGACTTGAACTTGAACCTTGGCCTCAGAATCAACTTCTAGAGGAACTTAAACCAAGACAACTCTCCTATCAGCTGAAACCCACAGAGCCCCAGCTTCAACCATGCCCATGTTGACAATGTCCCAGAGCATGGCAGAGCAACAAAAGAAAGAAGCCACAGCATTTGCTGGGAATCTTTGTTCAGGAGCTGCATCATGTCTTAGCTAGTAGACCTGCACAATATCCATTTCCTGCCTGGTCAGAGTAGTCTGCTTTTCTGCTGGAGACCACTTTCCCACCACTCCCAGGCCAGAGGTATAACTGATCTTGTCTCTCCACCCCTGCTTCAGAGGTAGGCAGAATCACAGGACTCAGGCCTGGGCCAAGAGAGCCTTGTGTCCCAGAGCACAGTGAATGGATGAGGGGCGGGCCTGAGAGCCAACTTGGGCCAACCAAGACAAAAAGCACCAATCCGAGATCTTTGGCTAAAAGACAAACCCTCCTTCTACAGGGCTGCTACATGGTGGGATAGAAGTCCAAGGGCGGGTGGTCATCCAGTTTCCACTTTGTCCTGCCACCTGGGGGAGAAAGATGAGGGATAATGACATGATTTAAACACCTATATCCGGCCACCCCTGAAATGGGAACAACCCTAGACTTATTAGCTTTCCCTTTTCTATTAAAGTCATTTTAAATTGAGTTTCCGTCACCTGCAACCAAGAGCTCTGTTTAATAAAAACCTGACCCTAAAGAGAATGTCACATCAGCTAGTTTACAATTCCCTGGACAAAACAGACCATAAGCCAGCCGACCCAGCCATAGCCATCTAGATATTCCTTTATAGGAATGTTCATTTTTATTGTCTAAATGACCCAGATAACTGAAGAAAGAAAATCAGCCGCCTTCAAGCCTCTCTCTTCTCTGTATCAAGAGACACGATGCGAGGTCAGCAATTTGCCTGCTGGAGCCAGGGTTGAGCCCTCAGCCCTGGCTCTGCCCCAGGAGGCTGTACTTTATACCACTGTGCTGCCATGGGTCCCAAGTGCAACCCCTGCCACTGCTGATGCTCAAATGTGGCCATTTAGGCCATGTGGCACCGCAGCTTTAGCCCAAGCACCCAGAGCTTCAGATGAGTCCGAGCAGGACCCACATCGGCCCTTTGGGCTGGCCCCATGGCACTGAGCCTTGCCATTCAGAGAAGCCAGAGGGGTGAGGATCCCTTAAAGCCTGCCCTAGTCTCAGGTTTGTCTCTTGTGTAGGGCCAAGTCAAACCCGAGGCCTTTTCTTTCCTTTTTGAAGGGAGAGTAAGGAGAGAAGAAAAAGAGGTTTTGAGCAGATTTAGGATTCCTGGCCTCTTTGGTCTCCAGCTGCTGGCCTCTGCTGTCATGTCATCTGCTCAGGGGCACAGGGAGCTGACCGCACCCCCCCACCCCTGTCCGCCACAGAAGTGCTCCAAGGACGTGTGCAGCACCCCACAAATCATAGCTGCCCTGCAAGAGGGTCGATTTCCTTCTTTCTAAAAGAAAAGTGCTGATTTGGAAGAGAAGCGTTATCTCAAGTTATAGGATATGCTATTTACACTGTCCAAATCTTGGCGTAATGCCTGGCCCACAGTGTGGGAGAGGAGAGGGGGAGAAAAGTAGGGAGAGAAAATGGAAGGAAAGGAGGGAGAAGAAAGGAAGGGAATTGAGGAGGAAGGGGGACAATGGAAGAAGGAAATAAGAAAATGGCCTCATCATCCAATGTTTCCTAGACTAAGGAACAGCCTGGTCCCAAAGCAAGGTTTTCTTGATCTTCTAGGGTAGAAATGGACCTGAGGCACTGAGCCTAGGCAATGCCCAGGGAACAAGGGGCAGGACAACGTGGCTGATCACTCACTCAATTCAGAAGACTGGGATAATACCTCTCCTGGCCACTGTGGTTTCCTGAGGATACTGGGCCCTTTCTGCTGCCCATCCATGCATGGAAGGACCCTGAAACCGCCTGCTGCCTCCCTTTTGCCCTATTATGGTCTTAAGTCAGCTTTATTGTTAATCTCCCAGGCCTCTCAGGTGAAGAGATAGAGGTGGCCAAAGGTCAATAAGCTCAGCAGTCACGTGCCTTGAAGGAGGCTGCTGATGCTGCTTGCTGCCCCTTCCACAAGTGTGCTATGTGTGCCAGTGGGCATTCCTCACACTTTAGCATTTGCCACACATTGTCCCCAGTGCCAGACTCCAAGAAGGGAGAAGTGCCTTCTACCAGCAAGTCCCCAACCCAGAAACCCAGAGGCAGTAACCCCAAGGCCACAAAAAGTAACCAGAGCATTTGTGAGCTACCTACTGAGTTGATCCCAGGTGTCTGCGAATCAGTGCGCATGTCAGTTGTCAGTGCTTTCTTTTCATCAGCAGTCTGTGCTCCTGCCCAACGCTCAAGCCTTGCCTCTTTACATCCACCCACTGATACAAAATAATCAACTGCCAAATAACCTGAAGTAGAATGTCATGCAATAAGCCCTAAACAAGGAGCTATATAGTTCAACGCTCCCCCGTTTATTATTATAAGGAAGTTTCATGAGAACATTTCATTTATTAAAATAATTCCTGTAAACTCTCTCAAGATAAAATTCATTTTTCTTGCTTGAGTAGCATTTCAAGTGGAAGTACTTTTATTTCAAGGCACCATAAAATGATGGTCTCTCTAAGAACATCTCTGCCCCCATGTGTGACAATCCTAAAAAAAATAAGTTCCGCGTGGTGATTAGTCATCCGTAAACTTTCCTAATGTCATTGTGTTCAATAGGACATGAGATACAGGGGGCCAGACGCCACAATTATAATTGGCAGCCTTAGAACAGATCCCCCTGCTGAGGCCCCAAAAGAACAGAGAAATGAACTGAACACTTGCAATTAGAAAAAGCTGGCGGGGCAGGAGACCCTGAAAACCAAAAATCCATGTAAACGTGGCAACGTCGGCGTCTCTTCTCTTCTTTTCCCTCACTTCTCCTCCTCCTCGCTCAGGTTGGCATTCCCCTGGAGTGTGGATGTCAGCTTGTTTTGCAAAATAGCTGCTAGTTTTTTTGATGTCTTTTTAAGGAATGCACTGCCCGGGTGAGCGCTGTTCACGTGCAGGTACAGGTCCTCCTGGGTGGGGCCTGTGTAGCCACAATCCTCACAGACATAGAGCTTGTCCCGGCGCTGCTTGTAGGCATACTGCTGCTGCACCCCGTGGATCTTCTTCAGGTGGGACTCCAAGGAGCAGCGCTGGGTGAAGGCTTTGTTGCAGATGTCACATTTGTAGGGGCGAATGCCTACAGGGGTGAGGGGCAGACAAATCACCAGTTGGTCCCGGCCAAGCCAGAGTCTCCCACCTAGGAAGCCATCAAAAATCATCATGGACAACCCAACAGCAAAAAAACAAACTACCCGATTCAAAAGTGAACAGAGGAACTGAATAGACATTTTCCCAAAGAGGACATACAGATGTCCAATATGTACATGAAAAGGTGCTCAACATCACTAATAATCAGGTACATGGAAATCATGACCACAATATCATCTCACACCTTTCAGAATAGTTATTACCAAAAAGGCAAGGGATAACACAAGTGTTGGCAAGGATGTGGAGAAAAGGAAACCCTCATGCACTGTTAGTGGAAATGTTAACTGGTGCAGACACAATGGAAAAAAGTATGGAGGCTCCTCAAAAAAATTAAAAATAGAACTACCATAAGATCCAGCAATCGTATTCTAGGATATACATCCAAAGGAAATGAAAACAGGATCTCAAAGAGATATCTCCACTCCCATGTGCATAGTAGCATTATTCACAATAGCCAAGAAATGGAAACAACCTAAGTGTCCATCAACAAATGAACAGATAAAAAAAGATGTGGTATATTTATACAGTGGAATATTATTGAGCCACAAGAAAGAAGGAAATCTTGCTATTGCGACAACATGGATGGAACTTGAGGGTATTATGCTAAGTGAAATAAGCCAGACAGAGAAAGACAAATACTGCACTGGCATTGTTTATATTCAGAAAAGTCGAACTCATAGAAACAGAGTAGGAAAATGGTTGCTAAAGGCTGAGGGTGTGGGAAATAGGGAGTAAAGAAAATCATCATGACCAAAGATTCAACAGGAGGAAAACAAGGCAGGAAACAAAACTGTCCACAAAGGTTCACAGCATACTCCCGAGCAAACAAAAAAAAATGGATATAGTTTTACTCTTCCCACTTGTATGCCCTAATGTTTTGATTTTAGAGTGGGCAAAACAAACCTTGTTTTTATTTTAGTTTAGGTTTTCCAGGAAACAGAACTTGCAACAAAGATTCCAGTACAAGGAGTTACTTGGGAGGGGATGCCAGAAAGCTCCGGTAAGGGGGTGAAGAAGTGAGACAGGGACATGGAAAGGAGACCCTACAAGGTAGAGTCAACAAGCCAGTATCTGCTATAGGCAACAGGAGTCCAATCAGCTGGGCAAGTCGGGAAACAGTGTAGAACACTTCAGAGTCATGCACCCGCTGGGAGCTGGGTTTCTACCCACTTGCTCCAGCAGCACTGCGGAGTGCTGCCCCTGGGTGGCAGATTTTCCCTCCCTGGCACTTCTAGCCTGCCTCGGGTAGGTAGAATGGGCTCTAGGAAGAACACAAGAACAGGGCCGGACATGTGGGCAGTTGCTGCATGGATGGGTGTGCCCAGAAATGGCAGGGTCTGGGGGCAGGAGTAGGACACTGATGGCATCTGCTACAGTTATGGAAGCATTTCCAAACTAGATCTCATGCTGGCTTTAGAACTGGGCTAATATTAGTGGGGCTTGCCTTCTAGATGGAGAGTTCCTACATGCCACATACACCAGGGAGCTCAGTCTTATCAAAGCACAGTCGTTCCTATTTCCACCATCAGTACTCACCCCGACTGTAGGAGGTCAGAATGTCAGATACAAAGACTTAAGTAAGATCTCTGTAAAGGAAACACGGTGTCATATAAGCATGGAAGCCTGGGAGAGAGTGCTGGGGGTATGTGGAGCAGAGAGGGAGCAGCCATCAGTTAGACCATCTCAAAGCCCAGAGGCCAGGAGGGCCACTGCCTAGAGGAATCTCCAAAGTCTGAGGCATAAAATTTAAGAGTACATACTAATCCATCAAGATAAATAATACTGAAACCTCAAAATACACTAAAAAATCCATGATGAACAAAATTTTAAATAAGCACAGGAAAAATAAATATGGACAAAATTTTAAATAAGGACAGGATCTGACAGTGCTGTGTGGAGTCACACTGGAGCTTGAGGTGAAAGGACAAATGTGTGCCCTTATGTAGATGTTTTACATATTTTTTAATTGTTTTTTGGGGGTAACACTGGTTAATAACACTGTATAATTTTCAAGTGTACAGCATTCTACACTTGGGCACTCTATCGCGTGCTCCCCACCGGAGGTCTGCTTTCCTTCCATACCATATACATGATCCCTTCCTCTTACCCACTTCATCCCCCCACCACCTTTCCCCTTTGGTAACCACCATTTTATTGTACTTATGAGTTTATTTCATTTGTACTTTTCATTTTATATTCCACAGTAGTAAAATCATAAGATTTCATAGATTCTTTAATAGTTATTTTTTTCCAGAATGCTTGAATTGTGGGGAAAAAAAAAGAAAAATTGAAAAGTAGGTTTATTAAATTAAAATGTTTAAATATTGTATAATTGTATAAATATGGTATTGTATAATTTCCAATAATGGAAATTATTATGATTTTATATGCTGGCTTTAACGGAAACAAATTCCTCAAAAGATGTTTTCAAAATTTACTTTTTTCACTTAATACTATTGTTGGAGATTTTTTCAAGTTGGTGCTTACAGCTTGATTTCATTCTTCTTTAAGAGCATCATGGCATTTTGTTGTACTGCTCTACCCAAATCCCATCTTTTAAAAACTATAGAGATGGAGGAAGCAGTGCCCTAGCCCACACCCTCGCACCACGTCATACTGCCTTGTACAACCTGGTGGACAAATGGTGGAATTGTGTCACCTGCAAGCTTGTTGAAAATGCAGTCTCGGCCCCGCCCCAGACCTACTGAACTGAATGCAAAAGCTGCGGATCTCCAACCCAAGAGGCTTGTCAAAACACAGGCGCCTGGTCCCACCCCTTATCCTGGGGTGGGGCTGAGACTGTTTCTAACATTTTCCCAGGTGATGCTGAGGAAGCTTATACCAAGACTTGGAGAGTCATAGGTCTAAAGTGATGCCAAATTACATGTAGGGACAGCATTTCTGGTATTTGAAGTCAGCCACACACCCCATGTCTTCTCTTCAAGGTTAAATGTCCTCAGTTCCTTAATGGTAGCTTGTGAAAGGGGGATAAGGGAGCCACTTCTGTTCAAAAAGATTTTTTTAAAGTATACAGACGATAAAATAAATGAAGTCAAAATGGAAAAAAATATCCTCCCTACCCCCATCCAAACACCTGAACAAATCAAATCACTCATTTTTCTTCCACATCCAGAAGGACACATCATTTCCTGTAACACTCTTGTGAAAAAAAAAAAAATTGTGTTGGATCAATGTTATGGTGAGATGTTACTCTAGCCTACTCAAGCGGAATGCAGGCCTATAGTATATTTCACATATTCTAGAAAAATTGCCAAAAGTTAAACTTTATAATTGTCAGTATTTGGCACATAATAGGTGCTCAGTAAATAATTTTTAAATGAATGAGTGAATGAGAGGTTACATCTTTGGAGCTAGCTTTCCATAAATTTAAGGGTTATGAGACCTCTGCAGAGGAATATGCCCACATGGCAGCTGGCTCCCCTCACTTTTGGCAGATCAAGCAACAAACCTGATTTCAAACCCACAGCTCATCGAAACAGAAATCTACCCAGAGACCAGCTGCTCCTTTCAATAGTTAATGGAAATAACTGTTTTAAAACATCTAAACTAAACAGGTGGGGAAACCAGAACACTTAACCAGGCTTTCACCTGGATGCAACAAACTCCGGATTCCTGGAAACAGATGCTCCCAATCTTACCCATGGGGATCTCCACCTCCAGTGCTGAAAAGGTAGCTTCGCTGCTTTGCTTGATCCCTGTCCCCTTGAAGACGCCAGCATGCCAGGACTGAATCTAGCATGCATAGGGTCGCATCTCCTTCCTCTCTCCACTCAGCAGATCAGCTGAGCATCTTCTATGGTTTAGCTGTGTACCCCACAAGGCCTACACAGCCAAGGCTGAAAGATTTCAGAGCCCTGCCTCATCAGGACAATGGAGAGAATGGGGTGGCTACAGCATGTTGTTGTTGTTGTTGTTTTCCAGAGAGGGGTGGGAATGAGCCTGGCTTGGAGGATGGGTAATCCACAGACACCGAGAGGAAAAAGAGACAGTAGGCCCTAAAACTCCAGTTATGGCCAATTTTGGCTTTCATGAGCCTGCTTCCCTTCCTCTCCGTACATACCACATTCATACTTCACTCATTGGTGCAGGCAAACATTGTCATGCAGCTGCCCCTTGGTGACTCTTTCTGGGGTTGGAAACAAGCTCCTCCCTCTTGGAGCCTCCTATACCCCATGAAATCATGGGTGAGAGATAAAAGTGGCCAGAGAGGAGCCCCAGACAAGGGAGACTGATGCCAAGGCCTCCCTGACACGGGGTCTCAACAACCTTAGTGCTCTCGAGCAAACGCCAACTTCATCCACGTCTGAAGTGGGACAGCAGAAAACACCGTCTCTGCACCAAATGCCATTAACGCTGACACCGAGAGAGTAAGAGTCCAAAGCCACTGAAAACCCAGGCATCACACATCTGCTGCTGGTGTACCGAGTCCACCGTCAAATTGCGGAACCCGCCCAGGCTTCAGTTTTCTTATCTATAAAATGGGAATAATATTCATGCCCACCTTGTAAGGCTGCTCTGGGGATTAACCGAGACATTACACGCAAAGGGCCAGCACATACTAAGTACTCAATAGGACCCAACTGCGAGATCTTACAATCCAGCTCAACATGACACAGATATGCTCCATTCACAAGCTGGCTCTTGGGGACTTGAGTATTTAGTATTTGTCTTTAAATTATGCCTATATGTATCTTTTTGTATTTGTATGTACTTTTGGTTGTATCATTTCACGGTAAAAAAAAAAAAGGATAATTTTTTTAAATGTGGTCATTAGGTAGCTGGCGGAGAGAAGGGAATAGCCTTCTTTCACTGTCTACCCTTTTGAATGTTGTGTTGTAAGCCTGTATTACCTAGTCCAAAAAATATTGTGCATTGGGTTATCAGAAAGGGTGTCTTCTTTTCAAATTT